AACATGTTTATGTTAATTACATGTATCGTTCTAATCTAGTTGTACGCTCATTTTTGTTTGTGCCACTGTAGAAATCCAAATTAAAATACAAAAGTTAATTATCTAGTTGTACGCACATCTTTGCTGTGTAGATATTTTATATAACAATAAGTTTCAACATGTTAAAGTCAATCGTTTACTATCTAGATTATTGTTAAATGTGCATGCAATCATACTCCCATTTTTATTTGATTCATATTAATAAACATTTTGCAAAACACATTTTATTTACAAGTGACAGAAGAGAAACAGAACGAGTCAAAGGGAAACAGAGCGATTTTAGGAGAACGAACTCACTCTACAAATGAGCGACAGAAACAGAGAGAACCTAAATTTTATAAAACAGTCGAATAAAATAAAGACGACAGAAATAGTGCATAAATGAGGAAATGGTATAAAAAAACCTTAAAATTGAAGAGCAAAAAACCTTTAAATTAATGAAAGCAGAAAACATATCATATTCTTAGTTCGAAACGATGTGTTTGCAAATGAACGCATCATGAGTTTAATGGTGTAGGAATATGCTCGCTTCGAGGGGTTATGTTGTAAATCGGACTAAACTGGGATATCGGATATCGGAATCAAAGCTACGGTCTAAATCGAGCCATATGCTTTCTTCGGAAGGCCGGAACCTCCGATAAAATCAGACCAAATGTCAATAGGCTCATTATTTTGTTGTTCCGTTTGATATAATTCATTAAGTTGACTAACATCTTCATCAAGATAGCGTAGCCAATGGTTTGTATTTGCGTTCATTTCATTTGATATGGTATTTAAGACACAAAATTTGTTAATGATTGAAATAAAGATTGGTAATTGTAATTTATTTTAAATATCTTTATATTCTATTAATAAATTGATTTTTTTATCGATGTTTATTAGCTGATTAGCTTTTTGCTTTTTTCGCTGCGAACTCAAGTGCTTGTATATCTAATTTTTATTTACTTATATAATAATATATATTCTTACATTATAGATTAAATTGTTATTATTTTATATAAATTGCACGTTCTTATAATTATTTAAATCAAGGAACAAAGTTTTTGTAGAAAAAATTATGTTATCGGCAAAGAAAGTACAAGGAGTGAAATTAAGTATCGGATCAAGATTTCGTAATATTTACATTAGACGGAATAAAAGTCACCGGGCACCTGAAACTGGAGGCTCACATAATAAAATATATATTATTTAAAACTTATATAAAATAAAAAAAAATGAGTCTCAATAATGCTTTTTGACTAAATTGGAACCAGCTTATATGGACAGGAAACTCCCGCAATATTCACACTCGCAATTATCACAATCGCGCTATAGTCACATTAATTTTCTGCAGTCCCGCAATAACATGTGACTGTAGCGGAAGTTTATATGACTCTTTATATACCGATATATATATATATATACACTTAATATTTAAATTGATACCATAAAATCCAATTTAATATCATAATTCTTATACGAAATCCTATATTAAACTTTAATCTTCAAAATATATGCGTGTAAACAGGTAACCAGTAACTTATTTCAGTCGAGTATACATGAAAATCCGGATGCATGATTAAGAAACAATTAAACTTATTTAATAAATAAACTTTGTTAAGAAATTTATAATAAAGCGTTTCAAGTGATAAATTTGGCGAACTTAGAAATCACGTCAAATTTGATAGCTTAATTTTGTTTACTATCCCTTAAATCATACATTTTAGCAGGCAAATTTGTCCGCTTAAATAATTGAGAAAAATTATCTCCTACAAAAAACTTTTTATAAAGAGATAACTTAAATTGACTAGGATAATTCTCGGAGGTATAGGTTACATGATAACTCTGCAGTCTTCTCGTAACATTTGCTATGTGACTCAAAAAAGTGCATAAATTTGTATCATGTGAAATTTGCTATATTTTAATTGAATGACCAATCTTATGAAAATTCTTGATAATTTACTTTTGTATACTTCATATCATAACAAACAAGATTTATTATGTAATACAGATATTTATTCATAATAAAATTTTGAATTATTATGATAGTTAGATCAGCTAAATTAGTATTTTTATTTAAAGATTGATTTAAGATTTTTTCAATCAGTTTTATCAATAAACTAATAAATAAATAAATAAATTTTTGAAAAATAAATTTTAAGAACTATTTATTTATAAATATTTAATTAAAAATTTTTTTATTTTTTCTTACAAAATTTTAGATTATTTATTTAACTAATTATTAAAGAAAATTCATAAAAATATATAGATAATATTTAATAAAAAAATAGTTATTATCATTAATACTTTCTTATTTTAAAGTATAAAAACTAATAAAATATTATATATTATATATCAAAACTGGCTTTGATATAATATTTTACAATTCATATCTATTTTTTTGTTTATTAATTAAATATATTATTAATATACTTCTCATTTCTCTCTCTAAAAGTTATTTTTGAAGGATAATAATTTAGATTTTATTAGAAGATTATAATTTATATTTTAATTAATATTAATTATTTTATATTTTAGTATAATTTTCTTTGATTATAGAGACTTCATTTATTGATCATTATAAATCTTTTGATTTATTTTTTTTTCTTTTATAACTTCTCTTTTTTCTAAAATTACTTTTGTAGTTTATACTTCTTATAATAATATTTATAAATATTAGCACAAATCTTTACTGATATTTATCTTTATTTTCTTTTAATTAGTCTAATTATATTTAGATACTTTATTATTAATAAATAGATTAATTAAAGTTTTATTAATTTTAACTTTATATTAAATTTGAATTTTTAAGTAAATATTACTTTTTATTTAAAATTCTTTTTTTATATCTTTTAGTATTTGAATTTTTTTAAAAAAATTTAATAAATTAAATAATTATAATATTAACTTATTAAGATATTAATTTTTAAATATATTATATAGTGCAGATATTCTAAAGATATTAAATACTGCATTATTACTAAAATTCTTGATATATATATTATATAGTTATTGGAAAGTTAATATTCTAGTTATGGCAAAAAAAGTGCTGAATCATATAGTTTTTTAAGAGATAAATCAATTAAATTGCAAGCTTAATATATAATAGAAAAATTTAAAATATTACTATTCTATCAAAATTAAAAATAATCTTTTACTATACTATTCTACTATGTACATGAATATTGTATTACAAAAATATAGATCTTGAATAAATATAAAGTATAATATTTAAAAATAAAAACATAATAATAAATATAGTAATAAAATAAATATATAATATAAAAATAAAAATATTTATAAAATAAATGAAAATTATAGAAATATGTGATTTCACATAACCAAAGAAAAATTAGAGAATTAAGAAATTTTATGTCACTATGGTAATAATATTATGTATTATAATTGATTAATATTTGTAATTATATAATTTGTGACTATATCAAAGATGATATAATACTATTGATAATTAAAATCTGATAAAGAGATTATAGTATAAATATAACTATATAAAAATAAATTTAATATAAAATTAATTGATAAATAAAAAAATATGACTATATCAAAAAATATGATCATATCAAAGCATAATTATAATGAGGTGTAATTATAATTAGTTATAAGTTATAACTAATTATAACTGTCATAACTAGTTATAATTATTATAATTATTAACTGTAATTCTTAATTTTTTTTATAATATTTATTTAATAACATGAAAATTTCAATATATATACTTGTAAATATAATAAATAACTTTACTTAAGGTTATTTAAATACTTATCTTATTAAAATTTTTTATAATTTATATTTTTATAATTAAAATTTTAATAATAAAAAAAATTTAAAAAATTAATATAAATAAATTTAATTATTACTTTATAAATTAATCTTAAGTAACTTATTTATTAAATTTTCAAGCAGATATATTTAAAATTTTATATGATTTAAACAAATATTCATTGAATAATAAATAAAAAAAGATTAAAAAAGAATTTAAATTTTTTATAATTAATTTTTTAAAAAAATTTTAAATAAATTTTATTTACTAGATTATCAAGCACATATATTTAAATTTTATATAATTTAAATAAATATTTATTAAATATAAGCAAAAACAATAATTTTGATTTTTTTTGTCTCCTACTGTAATTATAAAAGCTTTAATTATTAAATAAATATTATAACATATAATTTACTTGGGAATTGAATGTAAGAAACACCGGGTGCGTTTCATGATACTCATGTTGGTCGTAAATCCAAAAATTATAATAATATTTGTGTCATGTAATTACAGAAGGAAATTATGGACTCACAAATCGCAATGTTACTACGGTAACGATATCGATGTCAGATGTTTAATTATTGAGGTCTCGATGTCAATTACATGTATTATTGCGAAGTACATGTACATGTATGATTAATTTGCTTGGGAATTGAATGTAAGAAACACTGGGTGCGTTTCATGATACTCATGTTGGACGTAAATCCAAAAATTATAATAATATTTGTGTCATGTAATTACAGAAGGAAATTATGGACTCACAAATCGCAATGTT